AGTGACCATACCTTGGTGTACGTAATGCACCGCGCCAGCAACCTTCTCCCGCTGTGGTCGAACAAGAGCTGGCGAACCATTTCAGCCGACTTCAGTTTGAGGTCGCTTGCCACAAGCCCGCCCTCTGTCACCAAACGAATGACGATGTTGCCACTTATGTCCGCCGTTGCAATCTGGCCATCTTCACTCCAAGCTATGCATGACACGCCCATGATGGTCTCGCCTTGGTCTTCCATCTTGGAAACATCGGCGTCGAGAACCACGCTCAGCATTCCGGCCTCGTTGCTGTAAGCATAGGCGGTGCCGTGCCGGCTGTGCGCGAGGCAGTTGATGGGGTCCAGTATGGCAGCCACCGTCTCTTCCTCCGACACCAGGGAGAAACTGGTCGATCCCGGTCGTGATCCTGCCAAGTCGCTATCGGCATCGTCCATTTCGGCCATTCGCATGAGAGAATTCGGCTCCCAGACGTGGCAGTAAGTCTGTCGAAGGTCGTAAATCCGACGCCCATCAGGACTGAGTGCAATGTCCGTAACAGATGATGTACAACTCAGATGATACAGCAAAGTGAAGTTTTCGAAGGTCCATACTTTCAGAGACCCGTCTCTGCTAGCGGTCACAAACATTTTCCCGTCAGGGCAGCAGGCGAGTTCTGAGGCCCTGAGAGACTGCTGGGGCTCCCAGCTCCTCGCCTCTAGCGGGTGCCACTTGAAGACCGATCCCTCATTGTAGACGCCCAGCACATGGCCCGTCACAGGGTTCCATGCCAACCTGAAAGCATAGCATGCGCCGCTGTGCAGTCCTCGAGAGAATTCTCCTCTGCGGTCCAGGGTCCCCATGAGCTTACCAGTCTCGGTGTGCCAGACTCTGAGTGGCATGATTCCGCGATACGAGATGGCCACTTGGGTCCCGTCAGGACTGAAGGACGCGCACGCGGGTGTGGCAAACTTGGGCTCCGATGTTGACCTTGAAGCGGGGGGGAACACTTTTGGGACAGTCTGCCAGGCGTTGTGACCCAGGAGGGACGTAAATCTCACGCTGGAGTCATCATAACAGACAAGAACTTTGCAACACTTCTTGTCAAATGCAACATCCATAGCGCGGAGTCCGTCTGGGTTCAGGAAGTGGCCTAGACGTTTCCCACTTTCCACGTCCCAAATTTTGACAGTGTCTTTACCGCATGTCGCCAGTCGGTCACCGTCTTCGCTAAACTTCATGGCAAGAATCATCTCCCCGTGTCCAATTTTCCCTATCTCGCGGAATGTTGACGTTGAGTACATGTTGACAGTGTTACTCGAGGCCAGGATGGCGAAGAAATCGTCCAGGCAGTAGATCATGTCTGGCTGGTTTGTCTGGCTGGTATTGAACTTTGCGAGCAGGTCATCCCAGCCTGTATTGGAAACCCCTGTGACCCGAAGAGCCGTTGGGCTAAAGTAAACAAACTGACGAGCCATGATAGAGTCCGGCGGACAAAATCGTGGTATCAAATTGTGGATACTGTCAGGGTATTTCACGATGTGGTGACCGAATTTTCCCACGATGCGCACCAGTTCGGCTGACCATAAGGCAAGGAAGTCGCATTCCTCACTCGAACGGTTCATAGGGATAACCTCTTGCTCATGTTGTTCTCTTCGTTTGACGAAAAGATTCAGGTTCTTAGACGTCCTCGTCAAGACGCTCAAGCTGCCATTGAGGCCCACCGCTTCGATCCAGGCTTGCACACACTCTCCTTCAAAGAATTTGACCAAGGTGCGAAGATGCTGTCGATTCAAATGGTCGGCGTTGGCAAGATGCTTGGCCCAAAAAATGCAAGCGTACTTCAGCACGCCTACACAGCCATGAGTTTTCAGATGTACTCTGAATTGCGTGTCCATCAAAATATCGAGGCACTTGACGAAGATCAATGTGTGGGCTTCAGGCGGGTCAATCGCAAGCTCACTGCCTTTGTCATGTATCAAGAACTCTTTCGCTGTATGGTGCACAGCTGATACACTGCCTTTCTTCTCGTCGACAACCACCAAATCCCCGCAAAGCCGGTGTATGGTCCGTTTAATGTTGAGAGCCGTAAGCTCCGGGCTCAGTACTTCCTCGAGTTCGCCCAAGGAAAGCTGCCATTCAGCGCAGGTGATCCAGCTTAGGATCTTCTTGGCCGTCTGCAACTCGCCCTCGCCGTAGGTTTTTGCGATGGAGCTGACAATTCTTGAGTAAACGCCGACGAGATCCTCCGGCGGCTGAGAAAGTACTTCCTCTACCTGTTTCTCTGTGTCACACCGATGAAGCTCCTCTGTGACGAGCGTCAACCAGAGAAAGTTTCCCTTCGATTTGCGGAGCAAGTCATCCTTGACATTGTTGAAAAAGCTTTGCGGCCATTCGCGGTATGCCACTTCCAGTTCCTGCTCGATGAATAGTTTCTGTCCTTCTCGAGTAGGCACCACCTCACTCTGGCGGAAATCTGAACCGAACCTATAGCGAAGTCTCTCGAAAGCTCTAAATGATGCTTGGGGCCGAGTAAGAAAGATGATCTTCACGGGGATTGATTGCTCCTTCAACGCAGGCAGGAGGTTGAGCAATATCTGTGCCGACTCGCACTCATCCACAGCATCGATGACCCAGAAGAGGGGCTCGTCAAGATCCATCTTGGACAGAATATTGACGAATGCTCTTTGCCACACACCTCTCGCATCGTTCCGTGCGAGGGCGTTCTTATCCTCGAGAAGTGCGAGGATCTTTCGACGATACTCTGGCATGCAAAGTGCAATTTGGTAAGCCAGCATCTTGAGACAGACGGCGATCGATCGCTTGGCCTCCTCATTGTAACGAAAAAAGAAATATTGAACCCTCTTCTGAGTTTCCTCAAGGTGCGTCACCAGGAAGCCGGCCATGACTGACTTTCCTGAGCCCGGAGAACCAGAAAGCTTGAGAATTGAAGGCTCGAGTGAGTCGTCTGAGAGCCAGCCGCGGAATTGGAGGTCGTCGAGAATCCAGTTGCAGCTGCCAGGCACATAGAGCTGAGAGACGCGCTCATGGTCGGCCTTATACCTCTCGGGCGTATCGATCAGTCCGGACAGTCTTTTCCGGATGGATTCGAAACTTTGCACTGTCGAAGGACGACGACTGATAGGGATCGCGGCTGCTTCTGATAAGCATAAAGTCATAGAAGAGCCTCAATGGCACCCTACCTTTGGAGGTCACAAGCTTGACGAAATCCCTTATCACACTGCTGACGCTGATGTAATTTTGATCCTGGCGTGACGCAAACTTGCAGACACTGTGATGATTGGCATTCAACGGCCAGCATATCTCGTTGGGATAATTGAGTTTACTTGATGACTCGTCGACGATGAGCTGTGTAGTCAAACATCAGATGCGCCACGACCATACTCACTCTGGATTGGTACTCACACTTTTGAGACCGCGGATGGCGTGAGTCTCGCGGAATGATGCGAGGTGCATGTTCCTTGCATGCTGAACATACTGTTCATTGATGCCCACTAGCGCCTCAGAGTTGTGTCGCAGCTCATTGATGTACTGTTTCGGAGTTTGCATAAATGTGGACAAGAACTTTTTGAGCACGTCGGCCAGGTTGCTGCCCTGATGAGGTGTTGCGAGAAACACCACCCCACGAATAGCGTCAGTCATTGCACTGAACTTTTCGTCGATTGCGCCGAGATTGTAAGCCTGGCGAACGTTAGGCCATGTCTATCATCGAGTGTTTCGCAAACCACAGACCTTCTTGAATACCAAGCCTCCCATAGAGTGGACGACGAATATGATCGGAACCTGGTGTCGATTAGTGAGGGCAAATTCTACGACGAGTCGCTTTTACGAGCCTTTCCAATGTCCCAATCCTCATATTCCCCTCTGCCAAACTTCATGGCATTCAGGAGCTGCTCCGCAAAAGCTTTGATATTGAGTGTGTCTTGTGTCGACTTGGTAAAGTTGGCATCGTAGCCGAACGAGAATATCCTGGCGTCACCCAATTCGGGCTCGAGTGGCAGCCACTCTTTTGGCCAGGAACAGACTCAAATCGCGCTCCCATGCCCATGTCAGACGACTGGGAACCACCAAGTCCATGTACGAAGATGATGTCGACGTTCCTAGTTCCTATAGGCTCGTGGAGAATGTGCAACCCCATTGGGTCGTCGGCGCGATTGACTGACGCGATAGGCGTCCTAGATCGGACGGTGTCAAGTGTGCTTTCACCACGTAGATTCTTAGCTCAATGACATTTGTGGAAGACAGAAGTGTTGCTTACGCATTCGTTGCAACAGTAGAGACTCGTAGAAGCGCGTTCGGACTTGGAGTTCGTGCCCTGCTTTGGTGGTCTTCCCCCTCACTGGGGGGCAGCAGTTGATGTTCATTCGGCCGGTCTGCTTCGCTCCGGTTTCTTCTTCTAAATCTTAGGGGGAACTGGGGCTTTTGTCACAATGTTAGTGATACTACCACCATTCGATCCGCCATGGAGATTGTGTGGGTAGCTAAGAGCATTTATATGACTGACCATACCGCCGCTTCAACTGGCCGAACAGCTCAGCCTTGCCTGGTGAGAGGAGTATGGGGTGGCAGCTGACGTTGAGGAAGACGCCTAGTTTCCTGCACTGTTCGATTATAAGAATGAGGAGTTCCGCCAGTTAATCAGCCGACACTGGCAGCAAAATTACTTCTGGACTTGTCTGAACACACTGGTAGGTAAGTAAGGAGGGGAGAAAGATCTCGGGGCCCTGCTGTAATAGGAATTACCTTGGACGAAAGCTGAGATTCTGGCTAACATGAATAAAGGCTGCACCTAAACTTGGACACGCAATTATGGCGAAATTGCAGCGGGGTAAAAGGCCGGGAGAACACGGCGGCTCTGAGATAGGACGAGGCTCTGTGAGGGTGGGTGTGCCAGCACACAGAACGGACAGCCTGATTATGAATGTGATAGCCTTCGCAATTGCTGCATACTACTCGGCCACCTTGTTTTCGGGAAGGCCGCGAAGCGTACATTGCTGACATGGGTGCAACTGCTCGGTGTCTCAAAGTAGTAGATGCCTCTGATAAAGGGTGTGAAAGGTGGTTGAGCTGACGCGAAATGCAGCCCTGTGTTTTGACTACTCAGGTCTAGACAATCAAATTGATTCCCCTAAATAGGCCAGTTGCGTCATCTGATATTTCACAGCCCTGATCGTCACGCATCTTCTGGTTCTCTCAGTAGTTCGGTCTACGTGAGATCACGCAGGTCACCTGAATGACAACACAAGTGCATTTTCAGTCAATTTGGTCTGTTAATAAGGCTAACATTTACATCTTGCGTCAATTTGCTTGACTATACAACGCCTGAACTACCTTCTGGTTTCCTACCACCATTTTGTCGTGATTAAACCTCCTAGCTAATCATGACCGAGCAGGTATTTGAACTGGACCGTAATGGCCGCATCAAGCTGGATACTCAGGTCAAGAAATGTCAGTTGTCGTTATGAAACCCCGTCAACATGACTACCAAGTTCCGCTGACCAGACTCCTAGGTTTGCCTGAAGGCGAACGATTCATCGAAGCCACTGCTTGGGGCGCATCTGCGTGGACGCAAACCGCCAGGATCAAGACGAGATTGAGGAACGGCACTCACAATACGTACTTTCTAAAATGTACGACAGACCCGACGGTCATGATGGAGGGCGAGTTCAATTCAACCACCGCCATGCATAATCTGGTGCCTGATTTCGTACCAAAGCCATACGGCTGGGGACGGTTCTCGTCAACTCCTCGAGTATACTTCTTTGTCATGGAGTTCTTGAACATGAGGCCCACGATGCCGAACCCCGTCGTCTTTTGTCATCTAATCGCTGAAGTCCATCAAAAAAGCGTCTCTCCGAATGGCATGTTTGGCTTCCCGGTGCCAACATGCCAGGGGCGGATCATTCAAGGCAATGTTTGGACTTCCAGCTGGAGAGAATGCTACGATGCTTTGATCACAGAAGCCTACGACGAGGCCATGAAAATCAACGGGCCGTGGGCCGAGTTTGAGGCAGCCTTCGCAACGCTCAGACAATATGTCATCCCGGCGCTGCTGGATCCTCTCCAGTCACATGGCCGCATCCTCAAGCCTTGTTTGGTGCATGGGGACTTGTGGGAGGAGAACGCTGGGGTCAACATTGACACGCAACAACCCGTCGTATTCGACCCATCATGTATGTACGCTCACAACGAGTATGATTTAGGAATGTGGCGTCGCGAGGTCATTCGCTTTGGCCAGCCTTACTTCCGACAATACCTGATGCGCATGCCGCCAAGCGAACCAGCCTCACAGTGGGACGACCGGAATCGCCTTTATTCAATCAAGTTCAACCTGACGCATTCGGCGCATTACCTTGGTTCGCCCGCCAGAGAAGAGTAGGTTGCATGTCATGATGCTCGATTTGGAAGAACGTGCAGATTGCTGACCCTGCTCCAGTGTGTACAAGGACATGGGCATCCTGATCAACAAGTACGGTCCGCGCCACGAAACCAACGGGCCTTCTGCTACATAACCAACCTAATTCCTCAGTCATACCACTTTTTGGCCATCTGAAGACCTGATAAAGGCCTGATGTACCTTCCACACAAAACAGGTCCAGAAAGAACAAAGTGGCTATCAACGTCGCACCGCGTCGAAGCTGAAAAGCACCAACCAATTTACATGAGTCCGCTCCCCGCTTCAGTCTTGCCACGATAGCCACCCTTTCTACCAAGTCATGTCATTGGGAGGCTGGGCAACCCAAAACAGTCACTTTCTTGCTTTGCCTGTGGGTGGCAAAAGGGACTTGTCAGGTGGCACAAGCAGGCTTCGGTCCTTCTCCAATCAGGGTCGAGACCTACAAAAGAGGAAGCCGGGTTTACACGGCGTGCCTCAGCCTGGTTGGCTTTGGCGTATATTGGGGCGTTCGGTATTAGGTCTTTGTTCGTGGTTCTAGCCCTGTACTCTTGTTTGTCAGCTTGACAGTGTCCCAATGAACGGATCATGTTGCTTTCCGTCGTCACAGTGGGTTTTGGTTGTCGCACAGATCTGGGTACGATCGGCCTCCTCTTCTGTGAGCTGAAGGCTGTCTTTAACCAGAATAAATCACTCGAGAGGCTTTTATGACAATGATTTGGACTGTTCAGGCAGTGTCGTTTCTCTAAGGTCTTCATCGGTGAGATGGGAGTTCGTATCCTTGTATGAAAGCAGTCTTCACGTCGTTGCGAATAGTGATGCCCTTGCTCTCATAGTAGATGACTAACGTGCACTAGGACGTAGCGATATTGAGATAGGCGTTGAGACCGGCTGAGTAGTCCAAGCCCTCTGGTGGTATATAGAGTTGAACATTGTTGGGCAATCCGTGGCAGATGGGGTTATGTGCAACGTCGCACTTCCTGACGGCTGCATCGTGTGAGGCAGCACTAACCCTCACGGGAAGGAGCACAGCTAGAGGCTTAGCCTTCTAACCATTTTCCTGTTACTGTGTGAAGAATTTACAGCCCATTTGGCCCGCTTCAACTATGACCTGCATCTGTGCAGTATAAAATAAAGATGAGTCATGGCAGCGTAGCTTTATCAGTTTACGGGTCAGACATGTGACCACCGTAGGCCACAGAGAGGCGCATTATTCAAAATGACTCAACAGAGGAATTAACTTCAATAAACTCTCAAGAAGGATAGATCCGGTTGAGTAATATTAAACGATTTTGCAACAAAAAAAAGAAAAAAAGAAATGCGATGAAAAGCATCTGTGGACCCACGATGCCCACAACATATGTCCCACCTCGAGTCCCGGGCTCCATCAACAAGCAACCTGCCTGCCCGGCTAGCTCAATCGGTAGAGCGTGAGACTCTTAATCTCAAGGTTGGGGGTTCGAGCCCCCCGTTGGGCTCAATTCCTGACGCACTCGCATGACGAGAATTCAATTTCTTTTTGGCAGTTTGGCTTGCTGATGAAAATCTCGAGATTTTAGCAGGATCTTAGCGGAACTCTAAAAAGTTTAAGCTGAGATACTCCTGTTGTTGAGACTACTGTCGCTTGCGTTTTGTGTCTTGCTCTTTCACACCTGTTGCTGATTCTGGTAGCTAAGCAACGGGTGCTTTGTGACTAAAGCGGACCGTAGGTCGTCTCTAGGCGTCCATCGTGCTCGATTACTTCTTCTCCAGGGCTCCAGCCTACCGGAATTTACCGTATCCGTAGCATGTACCAACAGCCCAGCGAAACATCAGATCAGGTGGTTGAGCACCTGTGACGTGGGATGGCCAATGACGATGGATACGCGCCACTGTTCCGGTGTGGTTCACCGTGACATCCAAAGCGTTCGACATGAATGTTCTCGTGTCAATGACAGTTTCTCTACAGCATCTAGGAATATGTTGTGACGACCCGAAGAACAGTCTATCGGGAATGTAAGGTACCGAGAGGTTGGTGTCGGCTAAGGCTGTGAACGGAGCACGTTGGAAAAGCCGGTGGTCATGCCTCATGGGTCGACCTGGCTTGATGAGGAAGCGTTTGATCCACATTCAATGTTGCAAGCTGCCTCTACCCACGTGGAATAATCATGCAGGCATGCACGTTGCTGAGACGCCAGTTGCTTCGACGTAGGATTGCAACTGCCGAGGCACTCTTGCGAGAGGATCATAGCGGCCACGCCTGATATCGGCCACGACCGTTGACTCGATGGATTTCTCTCTGTTTGAGGAAAGCCACGAGGTGTTCATCACATACCGACGCCTTTGCAGTGGTCGAGGCTTGTTGAGGAGGAGGTGAGGTTGCCGGGTTGGCGACACCAATGGAAGCTCAGGCCCATCATTCTTAACAAGTTGATGCCTGCAGGTATCAGCGTCGGACATGCAGGTTGGAGTAGAAATATAGAATACAGCCGTCGTGGCGGTAGCAGCTGACGGAACCTGACGAAAGTCTGCGGCCCCGGTGCCCCACCGCCGGCGGGCACTGGACCGACTCGGCGCCTGGCTCGGAGGCTTTATTCGGCGTTGGCGCTAATGGCGAGGGCCCCTAATGTTGCTCCTGCCTGACAAGAAATCGGTCGGTCGATGATGTGGCATGGCTCCGTCACATGGCGTTTCTGCAGTGGCACCCTCAAATGTGCCCCGACACCGAGTGAGGTGGTATGGAAGTAGGGGCAAGAAAGCGCCATCGGCAAACGTGGTGAGCACGGCGCCTACGCAACTGCCGCACATGTTCTGATCCGATGAAAGAATGGAAGGTACCTCGCTAAAAAGAAGACATGCACGCGCTAAAACCCTCCGCAGTACTTACCTAGGTACCTTACCTTACCTACCTAGGCTGGTAGCCTTAGGCCCCCGAGGTCGTCCTGGAGCTCAACACCACCAGAGGTCCGAACCGCGGATGAAGCCGTCCCTGTGCGCACTCTGTGCCTGACGTGAAGGCAGCACCCTCTGGCCGAATCAGGTACCTTGGTCCGACCAGGAAGCCATCTCCTCCACACCACCCATCCGACACGAAATACCTCCCCAACGCCCCGATGCTCGTGGCTCAGCCTCCCCCATTTGGTAGGTGGGCGCTCTGCAACCCTCAAGTCGCGTGCCTGGCACGACCTCTCAAGTCCACCGCCGCTCGGCGCCCAAGCGGACATGACAACCATCATCCCAGAACTAAAGAAAGCGGCACGGCCGCTATGTCAGACACGCCAGAAACGCCCATAACGCTCGACTCATGAGCATGCCGCCGTCCAGCGTTCCAAACCTCCCTGCCTAACATGCAGGACCCCAGGCACCTTAGGTAGGCTCTGAACACACCCACTTACTTTAGGGTGAGGCACCTAGGTGCCCAAACCTCGCCACCCACCCACAAACCGTCCCGTAAAGAAAATCCTAGACAAGACCCGAACAGTCGAAAAGCCCCGAGCGTTGTCAGGTGGAAAAAGTAAGCCTCGGACGCGGACTGCTGACTCGGGACCCCCGCCGCCAGACGTCAACCGCATACCACACGACACGGCGGCGGCGGCGGCCGGCCGCCGCGCGGCGAGCCCCTCCCTAAAACGCAAGGGAGCATCGCACCAAAACCTCTGACCCCTCTGACCCCTCTACCTAGAACCTGCCCCGCCCCCTCCTCCGCATCCTCTCCCTGCCTTGCGTCGCGACCTGCGGCAAGTGAGAGAGTAAAAAACGCGGTCACAAGTCAATGACATGGCAAAACAAACATTGATCGACTGACTCTGACGCGGAAGGCCCAGCCTCTCACTTTCTCTCCCTTTCCCGGCCCTCGAGGTTTTGTTTGTGGCAAATACAAAAAAACGCGAAGGAAAAAAAAAATCCCCCGTGACAGGCAGAGACGTGGAAGTGACCACCCAACAGGAACACGGACATACGTTGTGACCTGGGCGGCCAACGACCCGTTGTGGTGGGGTTCTTCTTTCCTCTATGACACGGTCGGATCGCCCAGCCGGTGCGTGGAACGAACGAGGCGCCGACCCTTTGTCTCCAACAGCAAACTTGCAAAGAAACGATGAGACAGGCAATGTTCTATCTTTCTCTCTCTCTCCCTCTCTCTCTCTTGCCCACCTATCTGTCCCGGACAGAGCCAGTGATCTTGACGATGACCAGTTCCTCGGCTCCTCGGGCGGGGGCTAGCCGGGGAGGAGTTGGCATCTTAAAGAAAAAAAAAGAAAAAAAAAAGAAAACAGACCATACCTGCTGGGCGGAACGAGACAACGTCCGACAAACATCCCCCGAGACACCCCAAGTCTGACGACAGAGACATGCGAGGTCAGCAGTGGACAGAAATACAAGTCACAGAGCGGCAGGATCGAGATGAGATAGCAGCAGAAGTCTTTGGTTCTTTTTTCTTTTTATCTGGTTCGCCATAGAGATGCCGGCTGGCAAAGCTCAGGTGTTCGCGCCACCACATGTATATGGAAAAACTCTTCCTCGACGCAAGGGAGGCAGGGCACGTTGTTTGCTTGTACTGATGAGAAGAGACGGGGAGCAAAATGGGATGACGGATGGTAGGTGACCAGCACTCGCACCATCCGTGACCACTTCTGATGCTTCCGCAAACCCAGGTCAGTGCAACGTAACCCACACCCAACTCTCCAAGGCCAGAATATATCCATGAGGGGAGGAAAGAAAGCAACAAAGTGTAAACAAGAAGAGCAGATTCCAAGGCTGGCAACCCCGCCGGTGCCAGCTTGTTAGCTTGCCCGACGGGCCGCCTGCTACAGAGGGAATTACAACGAGCGTAAAAGAAGAAGATGCTGCCGAACCAAACTCGACGTCGAAACCGAAACCGAAAAGAAAACGCGCGACTGATCATGAGGAGTGAGCAAAGACTGTGCAAGTCGAAGAAGAAAACATGATTCATGCCTTTCTTTCTTTCTGTCTGTGCTCTTGTGAAACAAAATCCACCGTACACGCCGCGTTAAACCTTCCAATCCAATTGCCCTTTGCCGCCTCGCTGGCCGAGCGGTCTGTGGTCGTCAATGCAACTATGAACGATGCGCCGCTCCACACCATGCCCTCCGCAGAAAAAGAATCTTCCGGAGACCTTGACATTCATATGATACATATGAGGGCCGGTGGGGAGTGCGAAAATGACAAGCCGCTTGAGTAATAAAAAAGGAAAACACTTTTGGAACCAATCCATGCCGTCGTGTGATGGATATTCTTCTAATGCGCGACCCCAGTGTCGCGCCATGGTAGACTGTCACGCAGTTTATCCAAGCCCGAAGGCCGGATCCGCGTAAAGGCTGGTGGGGGAAGGCTTGGAGAGAAGATGCTACTTGATGTCTGAAGTCGTGATATCGTGACGGGGCGTGCACCAGGGGGATCACTGCGTGTCGCTCCTGGTGGTGATGAGGCGAAGAAATGCAGAGAGCGCAGGGTCTTACTCAGCTCGCTTGCGCTTCTTGTTGCCTTGGTCGCTTTCGCCGTCCGATGACGAGAACTCGCTAGCACTGCCGGGCACCTCAGCGGCCACCTGGAAGAGGACCTTTCCGAGATGGTGATAGTCCTCTGCTTGGGGAATCATCATGTTGTCAAAGGAGTGAACACCGCCATCATCGATGAGATCCATAACAATGGCGCCGCTGCCATGGGTTCTGGCGTGCTGGGCAAGGTTGTCACTCCGGGAGAACTTCTTGCCACAGTCTTGGCATTCGAAGGGCTTGTCTCCGGTGTGCAGAGAACGGTAGTGACGCTTCAGGTGCTCCTGGCGGCGGAACCGACGGTTGCACAGCTCACACACAAACGTCTTAGAGGGGTCCTCGGTCAGAGACTGCTTGCGGCCGCGTCGGTTCGTGGGAGCAGGCAGGGGCGTGGTGGCGGACGGGGAGGCATCACCATCCGAGTTGGAAGACTCCCTCCGCTCAGAAGTGCCTGTGCTCTGCGTCGGCTCAGCAGCGGGCTGGGGTTGAATCGAGGCTTGCGTGGCAGAGTCGGCAGAAACGTCCATGGTAGGAATGGAGTCCTCCTCGGAGACCCGGCGGCGCTTGTCCTGGTGAGAGTCGGCGTCAGAGTGGCAGCTGACTGGGCTGGTGGCGCCAGTGATGAAAGACGCGTCGTCGTCAAAGCTGAAATCGTCGTCGCCGATGAAGCTAGCGTGACCAAGAGTCACGACGCTGGAGCCTGTGCAGGCACGGGGCCGCGAGGAGGCAACGTCAGTGCCGGCAAGGTTCACCAAGTCGTTGACAAAGTCGTCGTCCGACTCCAACTCGGAGAGGTCCTCGAATGAAGGAAGGCCGTGGGGAGTGGCAGGGTTGAAGTCAAAGTTGGGCGCAGCGACCGAGGGGGCAATAGCAGTGCACGACGTAGGGAAGGCAGGAAACTCGGCTGCCAGCGTGGGGTTGGAGGTCGCCGCAGTCAGGGTGGCAGTGCCAACGGTCAGGTTGCGAGGGTCGCAAAAGTCAACGTCCTGTCCAGAAGCGACGGACCTGGCATAAGGCGAGGGCGAGGGCGACAGAGAGGGGCACGACAGAGGTCGCTTGCAACGGTGTTGGTGGTGGTTTTGCGTTGAAGCTGGGGCAAAGTTTGCCGAGCTGACCTTGAGCGGGCGAGATTGCGACAGGGCCTGAGCTTGAACAAGGTACACTCCAAAACTGGTTAGCGCATTTGTTCTGTGGTGGGTCCCTTTTCACGCCTCGCGAGCCTTTGCTTCATCGCCTGGGCTGCTTGCCTGAGGCGTGACAATGAGATAGGCAAAGCGAGAGTCATCAAAAGTCGACTCCATTCACGCCCCGACTTGGGCAAGCGCTAACCAGGGTCGGGGAAGAACACGATGGGTCCCGCCAACGCAGCCCAATTTGTGTTTCCCATCACAACCCGATGGCAAATGGAGGGGTGTCCTCTCAGAAATGGAGGACGGAGCAAGAAGGAATGAAAAAAATGGGTGCTGGGGCAAATGCTGAAAATGAGAATCAATGGTGCGGAACGGACTTACCAGGAGTCATCGGAGGAGAGCCGCAGCTGGACCAGTCCAGGGCTACGCTCTCCACAGGCTCAAGCATCTCCTTGGGGTCCTCGAGACCGTCCAGTCCAGAGAACATTGGGTTCATGGGCGTCTGCAGCATGTCGCACGTGTTGGGCGAACTGACACTGCTACCGGCACTAGACAGAGGCGGTGTCGAGGGGAAATACAGGTTGTCGTCCATACCGTTCGTCTCCAGCAGGATAGTTGGCTTCTGGTGAGAAGGCTGCGGAGATGCCACGGGCGTCATGACGCCTGGGCCGTTGCTGTAGAGGGTAGGAGGCGGCGCCGTCACTTGAGAGCATGAAGAGTTTGGGCGAGAGTACATGGGGGTCGAAGGTAGTGTCGGCACCATGGGGTACACCGGGAGCTGGGCCATGGCCATATGTTGCTGGGGGTGCTGCTGAGAAAAGCGCCCGTGATGCCTGTTATCGGTCCTAGCCTCGGGTGTATAAAAGAAGAAGGGCGAGTGGCCCATCTGTGCTGTCATCATGTTGGGGTCCATTTCGGTCCTTGACGTCTGACGGCTGTTGGTGGTTAACTTCCCAGGAATCATGGCAGGTGGGCACACAGCTGTGTGGCACGGGCGTGGACCTACCAGTTGATGAGTTTTCTTGCGAGTGAAGCAGTCGTTATGCGTGATATTTCCAGGTCGATTATGCGAGTAGAATGGTATTGGTACTTTACAGGTTCCTGAGCGTGGAACTATTGGAGTCGTGGTTGCTTGGGGTTTGGTAGTTTGCCTAAAGATGGTGTTTGTTCGGTTCCTAGTGATAAGGATTGGACGACGGTGGCTTGAGGGGACAAGGACACTGTCTAGACGACTCGAAATATCGTGATGGGATTGTAGTACATGAAACTCGTCCAAATAGTCTCGTATGGTTGGTTCTTGATTATACCGAGGACTGGTGCGGCGGAACGGTTACTTGCGTGTGGGTTGAAAGGATGGACGGGGCTGTTCGATATATGAAGAGTCCCAAAGAATGATGTGTTCGAGTCACAAAAGAAGGAGGAACCGAGCGGTCATGAAGAAGAAAAGGGATCGCACAGGCACATCAGGGTCGAGAGACAAGACTGTCGATCATGGATTGCCAGGAATCAAGCCAGAGGCAGAGTGAGTGAGCGTGGGTGGTGACGGGGGATATGTATCTCGAGAGCCCACATTGATCAACCCAGATGGGCCCCAGCGATAAAAGTCATCGATAGGTAGATGGAGGGGACCTGGCATCGGCACGCCGGACCCAGTCTTGCCAGTGAACGTCCCCCGACCCTCCACGCCGCCCATGTCTCACTCAGTCTAACAGGGGTCAGGGAACACTTCTGAAGGTGCAGGGATACCGACCCAGGAACGAGAGGGCGGGCAAGACGGCGCAGTAGAGCGCCCACCCTTCACCCCTGTCTCCGTCGGCGTGTCTGGGGCAAGTGGAAACTTCAGATGGGTGTGGTGGGCTGGGCCCACCACGTCCACGTCCGTCTCTTTCTCCGCTGTGCTGGTCGTCCGAGGCAGAAAGGTCTCGCTGTCGTCGTCGGCGGTTTTGGTGGTGCGAGTAGCTGTGGTGGGTGCTCCGCTCCTTCCACCCGTGTCTGCACCCACACAGGGCTCCCTCAACCAAACTTTGCAGGCACACACAACCTGCCCTGCCCGAACAGAGGTGCCTGATGAGGGCCTGGGGGGCGCAGTCACTAGCCCTTTCTAAATCTGGCCGCGACACCAGCCCTCCCGGCTGTACCGCGATATGACGGGTACCCTCCAACGATTGGTGACCTGTCTCTTGTCGTCTCTCGCCCACCTGGTGTCGTCTCTTCAGTCCCAGCGTACCGAGGTGGGTAGATGTCGAGGTACCTTACCAGGGAAAACTACTCCCATAGAAAATACGATGTGGACATCAATTATGCCGATGCATATGTGAACCCACCAGTCCATACGAGAAGTGGACACAGGGCGAATCGTCATGAAAGAGAAGCTGCCCACAGGACTGACCGGGCCTGCCAGAATAGAGAGATGCCAGCCTCTTTGGCGCCTCTCTACACCACAGGCAGCGCACGAGTCGAGGCACGACGGTACCAGCTGCGGACGAAATTGCCGCGCAAGCCGTCAGCACAGGACGCATTGTGTAGACGTTGCATGCTTGAGTGGCACTCAGATCATCCATCACCAGGAACCCAGCGGCATCCTGCTATCGACGGTCGCGCGTCTTGTTGGCGAGCAGGCACATGCCGTGGCCCATCCTCGCCTGCATCGCTAACAGCGCATGTATCTTTCTGGGAAAGGTACATTGCGTGGCTCTGGATCCACTAATGATTGTGAAGGGGGATGAGACGACAGAGGCCAGATTTTCATAAACATCCCGCTGCGCTGAGAGACAAGTGCGAATTGAAAAAGCTGGAACCCATGTAACTCGGCCCTGCATAAGCCCGGGGCTCGTGTTCGCTGGTGCTCTGATAGGCTCCAAAGTGTGGATAATATGTGCTCAGATGAATAGCGCCAGCCATCCAGCTTGCACAAATGGCGCGCTCTATTGGCATTCGTCCGCTGGGTGCTTGTGCGCGCGCGTCGTCCGTGTTGTCTAACCGCAGAAGGTGGGCACAGGCATTCGGTTGGTGGCCTCCACGTCTCACACAATCCGACGATCGACCAGTGGTGTCGCCGAGGGCCTATGCAAGGCACAAAAGTAATGAATGCGCGCACTAGCCTCTAGCTAGTGACTGAGTGCTGATCACAAGCCCACTGATGGGCGTTGCGCCGCCTGCGTGCCGATCACTGGACCTGTCGCGCATCACGCTGGTGCTCTCTCTCGCGCGCGCGGAAGCGCCGCTCCCCAATGGATACTTCCTTTTGGGTTCATTGGGGCCTCCTGCCAGGATGACGACACAACCTGAGCCTCCTAGAAGAAGTGCATGCCGTTCGCAGTGGCAAATCGTGACCCCTTCATGCTTCCAGCTGGACCGCGTTTGACGCTCAGGTGCATGTTCTCCAAGAGACGGCGAAACGTCCTGCACTGTGCAGCCCATGGCAGACGTAACTCCGTGGATACTGATCTCTGAGACGGATAAGCCCGACGCATTGAAGAGACAAGCTGGGGCCGTAAAGCAGGACGTGTCCAGTTCATGCTTTGGTCTTTGCAAACCGTCTCGCGTCCTGCCCGCACGGTATAGAGGTCTACTGGGTCGCGTTTGAGAGGAGCTGAGCGTGGTAGTCAATTCTCGTTTACATTGATCACGCAAAGCTTCCGATGGGCCGATTGTCAGCGGGAATGGGGATGGACATCTCTCAAACCAGATCTGCAGGCGCGTTGCGCGAACTTGCACCACCATGATCAAAGGCGACAGCCCCCCGCCGGTGCTTTGGTGCCTTCACCCGTGCCGGGTCTCTACGTTTGACTGACCATCATAGAAAACCATCCAGCACCTATCACCGAGCGGCCATGGCGATGCGTCTCTTTGGAAGGGTGGTGTTCAGTCTTTGCTGACCCAAATATGATGGTGGCTCTTCTTGGTGTGGCATCCAATGCGAGGGTTGTTCACGCCGCCTCTAGCGCGACTGCTTCGGGGCGGAACACACAACACGAATCTGGGGCGTGAGATGCAACCACTCACCAGCACTTCTTCGCACCCGTGCATCCCTGCGCAATCTTCACACTGCTCGACCCGCCACTCAACAGTAAATATTACCAGCGACCGCGCGCTTTTGTGTGAGCTGATCGACAACCGGCGGCTGTTGTGATCAAGACGTCGTTGAACACAGTGTTCTTGATGAGATATGTCGTCATTGGATGCCGCCGTCCGTTGCTACCAATGCCTCATTTAGGGAGGGGTCTCGTTCCGGGTGAAAGAGGTTATCTGCGTTCATCCAGTATTGCTGACCGACAAGTGGCTGTTTGGGCGGACAATCTTGCGAATTGAAGAACAATACCAGAGGTCTTTGATACAGCGACCATCATAACACATACTAATTGCATCAAACATTGCTCGTCTTCATCGAGCTTCTTAGGGCTGTCCTGTTGTTGCTGCCTGGGTCATCTTGGTCTTGCCAGACACCCAAAGGAAGGCAGCCCTTGCCTGGACTTGCCCTCCTTGCTGTTTGCCCCCGTCTCCCGCCACGGGAAGGTGTCAGGGAGCGAGGGTGAAGGAAGGACCAGCCCCCGGTGGACTGAGCATGAACTTGCGTCTACTGTCTGTACGGTAGGGACATGTATACAGGCTGTAGAACGGCACTGATCTAGGTTCTTTCATGGTCTTGTCGGTCATCCAGTCATGATGCCAATGCTTGTTGCCTGTCACCTCCACCATCCCGCCGCATCATGACATATTGTATTTGTCCAAGCCAACCTGGTCTACAAGCTAGTCCCTGCGAAATACGCGTGCACACAAAAGCCCTCAAAAGACAAGTCAAGCAAGCCGATGTCGAGTTCCGAGGATGCCAGTCCGACCAACCAGTACAACAAGGCAGTCAGCTATCGGCACGGGCTGTCGATAAGTTTACCGACTCAGGGCCTTGCCCCTTGGTCTTTCAATGGGGACACCAGCCCACGTCGGACGACGGTTCAAAGTCAATTGACAGCGCCTCAGGAACACGAAAGGATATTCCCACCGCCTGAGCTCAAACGACTGGAGGTACCACACGCGAAGGAGAGAAAACGAGTATGGAGTTTTCCGAGACTCCCTGCTTAATGATGAGTCGATCTAATGATGAGCTGCGGCCCATCAACCACGCCGAGTTGGCGCTATGTCGAATCGGACGAGAGACGCAATGCGGGCGGCGCTGGACAGATGATGAAACGTGAAACTCTCAATAGACACCCTTTCACTCGCTCAGCATGGTATGGACTCTACGTTTGGGTCGCCGGCTGAAGTGCTGGCGCCGGCAAAGTCCACAACAGACTGCATCGCGCCTGCGTGCACACCAAGATGACGCCAACCGAACGAATCTGGTCTCCCACTCCAGTCGACATATCACCTCACATGCTTTTCAACAGCGCGCCCAGTCTGTAGGGTACCCGCGCCGGTGACGCCACCAACCCGCGACCTGGCGACTTCTTTCGGCGAACCTGAGAGCGAGATACACATAGCTGAAGGGTCACATTTCGTCCGATAATAAGCAGGACCAACTAGAGCGCTGGCCAGTTGGAGTTGCGGGCTCTCGAGATGTGGTGCCCACCACCCCCAAATCGGGCCTGCTCATGATGCTTAGGTTTTTCCATTCATTTGACTAATACTTCCAATTTTCGATTATGGTCCTGCGGGCTCGACGAAGCGGTGCGGCTGCACCCCCCAAAAAGATTCTAGTCACCAGCGCCCACCAGCCAAACTACGGCTACGATGCCTTCCGGGTGCCCAACGCTATTGAGCTGGCCCTTCTTCGGTCTGGCCCGCGTCCACTGGAAGACGCCCGTGACGCCCGCACTTGTACCGAACTGAACTACGTAAGCCAGGTCGCCCACGCGCTAATCTTTAGTTGAGACGTTAGCTCTGCATAACTCAGGCACAATGTGGGATGCATTAGAC